TTGGGTTCGAGATCAACATCATTAAATTAAAAGATCTTAATTTAGAAAAATCAATCGTTCTAAAATCAATTATATTAAAATATTAGAAACATAGTAAAAAAATTTATCGTATATTCAAATATATAAAAAAAAGTCCACATTTATCTTTTATATCTATTTATTTCTCTCTATATAGAGAAGTTTTAGCATATTTTCCCATTTTTTTCCTAATCAGTTTCAAATAAAAAATAGTTATGGGCCTATTAGTATTTAGGACAAATTCATGAACTCAGATTATTATTCCTTTCTATTATTAAAAATCTTTCAAATCAAAATTTTGAATGAATCCAAAATCTGATATCATTTTTTTAATGATATTAAAGAAATAAACAATCCCCTCTTCTACTCCTTGTTGACCGGTCCTCATGCAAATAATATATTTTAAAAAAATTACTTAAATAAAATCTCTCTCCATTTATTTATTCAACTAGACAAAATTATTATTAATATATAAAATTCAAATATATTACACTTTTGAAAACAAAAATGAAAGAAAAAATTTGGTAAATTAAAATTAACAATTTGAAGAATGAGAAATCTCTTGCAAGGTTAGCTTCTGTTCTAGCTAGATATTAAAAAGATTAAATCTTCCACGAAGACATTCATTAGGAAAAGAAAAGCCTTTTGAAAGACAACATTAAAATTACAGAGAGAACTCTTTTTACTCTTAAGACAAAATAGATAAAAATTGATTAATCATTAAATAATTTTATTTTCAAATTTTAATAATTAGTAGCTTTTTAATATATATTTTTTTCATTTGAATTATATATATATATAATATAACATTTTTAATACTTTTCTGTTTTATTTAAAATATATATAATATAATTAATTCAAATAAAAATGAAATGAATAAATAAAATTCCAATAGCCGATAGTAAATAAAAAAAATGTAAAAGAAGAAAAATAATAAAAGGGAGAAAAAAGAAAAAAAAACATGAAAAAAAGGTATTTTAAAAATAATAAGTTATTTAATTAAAAATACATAATTAAATAACAAGAAATTATTACCCAGAAATTTTATCACAGTAGAAGGCCTTAGGACTGCAATATGTACCATGCAGGCCTAATCATTGAAAAACACCAATATATTAAAAAATATTGCTACAAAAAATTTAACCACAAAATTCTTTAAAAAAAAAATTGGTAAAAAATAATAATCAGAAGTAAAAAGAAGAATTGAAAATATAGGAACATCTGAATGCATCAGCCTAAGAAAATCAATGGCCTATGCCAGAATCTCAGCTCCAAATTGTTGTCGGCAACGTACAGCACTGATAACACCATTGATTAGGCGAATCAGAGACTCTAATTTGTTGCCTACATTCGTTTTTCCCAAAAAATGCAAACCAAAACAATAAACAGCGAAACGAAATAACAAAATAAAAGCAAAACATTGAAGATAAAAGGCTCAGAGAAAATAGATGGCATCAACAAGCTCCAATAAAGCTCTCATAGTTTGATGGTATATAAATTAGTCATCACTGCCTCAAAATTGATGAAAGAAATAAACAAATCAGAAATATAGGATTAATAGGAAAAAGAGGATATTCAGAAACTGATCTGAGAAAAAAACGAAAGAGAGAGATTTAACCTGTTGCTGAGATGAAGAGGACGGAGGGATTAAATAGGTAGTGAGGATCGGGAACGAAAGGAAAACCCTAATTTCTAGCTATCGAAATTACGATTCTGGTCCTTTCAATGTTTTGGGCTGCATGGCTTTCCGTTATGCAGCCCATGACATCCCCTCCTCCTGCACCGTTTTTACCTTTCTAATCCGTTAATCCTAAAATTACATTCTAGATTAGCAATTCAAAAGATAAAAATAAATTATTAAATATTATTTTTATATCTGTAAAATTAAATTATATTAAGATTAATATTTTTTAAAAATTTATTATTTTATTTTTCAACATTTAGTAAATATATTAGTTTGATACTAATTTAAAATTTTCGTTAAAATTGTACCTTCCAATTTTAAATATGTCAATTTAATTTTAATTATCCCCTTAACTTAATAGTACTAATATTAATTTTAAGAATGTTACTTGTCAGTATTTGATTATGAAAATGAAATATAAACATATTAATTAAAAAAATTATATATGAACATATTAATTATCATTTACATAAGAATTGTTTTTAGCATGTTTTCCAATTATTATTAAATTTCATACAAGTATAAATTAGTATAGTATATGAGTATTTCAAAAATAAATGAGCATATTAACTTATGAATATCAACATATATTAAAATAATTTTATATTGACATATATATTATATTATTTTAATATGTGTAAATTAAAAAAAAATACTATGTTTAAAAATATATTTGGTATATATTGGATATACAAATATTTTATAAGAATAAAATAAGTTATATTTATATTTTATAATTATTAAGGTTTTATTTGAAAATAATTTTTCGCCACAAATTAAGAAAATAAATAACTATACAAATAAAAATAATCTTTAATGATAATATTGTGTTGGTCTTATTCTATTTTGGCAAATAAGAATAAAACTTACTACTTTTGTCAAACATGTAAATAGTACAAGAATGGTCCTAAGTTCAAATTGGTTGAGTTTTATTTTATAAAGTGCTTTTGTGTTACAATCAAATTTTCTTATTTGTTTCTACAATTTTATTATTTGAATGTGACATACATTTAATAAATAAATTGTGATGTTTTTCTTTTTATAACAAGTTATTTTAAAGAATTGAAAGCAAAAGCATTAAAATAGTATTATTTGCTTCTAAATTTTTTTAAATACATATTTTTTTTTAATTTCATAAATAGATAAATAGTATATCCAAATACCATTTTTAGAAAAGTAAAAACACATTTTAAAATATCATTTTTATATTTTTAAATTTTTAATACTAAAGTCCTATAATTTAGTTTTTTATATTATAATTCTTTCAGTGAAGTCTTAGGTTTAACTTTTCTTTTTATATTTTTAAACTTTATATAATTATAAATTTTTATTATTAACTATTATAAATAATAACAATAATTTATTATTATTATAATATTATTCATAATTTATATTAATAAATAATTATTATAAATATTAATATGAATAATTTTCTTATTTAATATAATAATAATAATAATAATAATAATAATAATAATAATAATAATTCTTATTTTTATTATTATACAATTATAAATTTATTATTATTATAATAATAAAATTAATAAATATGATAGTAATAATAATAAATTTATAGTTATATAATTATAATTATAAGAATAAATAATAAAATTAATGATATTAATGATTATTATAGTTATTAATAATATTATTGTAAAAATAGTTTTATTATTATTTATTTATTTATTTATTTATAATGATGACAAGTATAATAATAATAATAATAATAATAATTTTAATTTTATTAAATAATAATAAATAAGTACAATAACACTAAAATTAATAAATATATAATTGTATAATAATAATAAAATATTATTATAGTATAATTACAGAAATAAATAATAAAATTAATAATTTTAATGATTATAATGACTATTTATTATTATTATTATTAATAATGTAACTTATGAATAATAATATTATAATATTATTATTTATAATAATTAATAATATAAATATATAATTATATAAAGATTATAAATATAAAAAAAATCATATATATAAATACAACTTTATTAAAAAAACTTATAACGTAGAAAAATTAAAATCATATATTGAATTACAACTTCAGTTTTAAAAAAGTAGTAAAAATAAAATCTTATTTTTAAAAACGACATTTTTTTAAAGTCATATTTTAAAATATAATTTATCTATTTATAAGATTTTTTTTTAAATATCTATTTTATAAAATAAAAAAGTAAATTTGTGCTTTGCAAGAATTGAGAGCTTTATAGCTTTTGCTTATATTCCGGAAGCCAACAAGAAGAAACTTGATTTCATATCAGAAAGAGTGCTTTTTGGAATTTTAAATAATAAAAAATGATTTATAATTGCAGATCAATATTAGATAATGTATATACATACTAAAAATTTAAGTTATATTATGAAATTTAAATACATATTTTGATTTTGGATGCAATCTTCAATATACTTTATATTTAATAGTAATAAATTGAATAAATATGTAAAATAAGAAATAAAAATATATTTCTAACTAAAATTAAATCATAATTTTACACATTTACTTAATTTGGAAAAATCAATTTCTTTCTCTATACATATTTTTTCTAAAAAATTAAGTCATGACATATTTATTAAAGGTCAAAATGGGTTGGGCTAATTTCCAAAATAAAAAAAAGTAATGATATTAAGTAAAAAATTTGTAGTTTATATCCAATTAGATTATTTTAACAGTAATCACTTTCGTAAACTTATAACTCTGACTTATTTTATAAAATAATTATTTATTTTTAAAATAAAATTAAAATAATACTATTTAATATGTATATATATATATATATATATATATCAAATTAATATATCTAACATTACAATTAATTTTATTAAAAAAAGTTTAAATTTTAAAATTATATATTTTATTTTTATAAATTTTTCTTATAATATTAATTTTTTTAAAACTGATAAAAATAATTCATTAACGAGCAGGACCAGATTAAACGACTCATTCATAAATACAAACAATTTTTAACTGGTCAACAGAACCTGTTTAACAGCTTTAGTAAGACAGTGTAAGATTTTTATTTTTATTTTGACATTCTATTTATTCCATTTGTATTCATCTCTTCCTTTCTCTTCATATCACTAAACATTTTCCACTTTCTTTTTAAAAATGCCATACTCTAATTGCGTATCCCATTTGGGTATCAAAATATCATTCCTACAAACGAGTACTTATTTTAAACAATTACATCTGTTCCACCCACCTAAAAAAAACATTGTGAAAAAGATTCTTATAGTTTTGAGGCAACTAAATAAATTATACCATAGTAAAGCATCACACCATGGCCTTGTGCTCTGGCCTGTGAGTGAACTCAAAATCTATGTGCACAAAAGCCCTCTCAACTTCTGGAAGTTGCTCTAGCTTCTCTTGGAGTGTCTCACCAATGTTGTGTGCTTGATGGAGAACCATGTCTTCTGGTAACACAATGTCAACTTCCACAAAGTAATGTTCACCAAAGGTGTATGCTCTAACAGTATCTATGTGCTTAATCTGCTCATGGTGATTCCATATGAGGTAAGTTAACTTTGCCAGAAAATCAGGTGGTGCTGTTTTTCCAATGAGTGAACCAACATTCTCAATGACAGTCTTGGCCCATGTATTAATTGTATACAATGCAATCTGCATTACACAATCAGGATATCATCATTAGTAGTTCAATGATGTAGTTGGCTTAATGTAACAAGCAAACAACCATCGTAGAAGAATAATGGAGGTAGATATTTTTTCTGTCCATAAAAATATCATGCTTGTTTTTGTTTAAGTCCTTATAAAATGTTTATTCGCTTTTAGTCCTTTACAAAATTATGTGATTTCCATCCATCTTCAAAGAGTGAAGAAATGTACAATGAGGAAATATGTATTCGTGATACTATTAAAAAAAAAAAAAAATTAATATCTGAATGTGCGAACCTAATCAGAAAATTACATTAGAGAGGAAAAAATTGCAGAAAAGAAAGGCCAACTAACTTGGTAATAGAAAATGTTTTTGCAAATTAAACAGATATAATTTCTATGCATTGTCAATGTAAAAAGTTTTAGGTGGCCAAACCAATCAGTAATCATTGAAAGGATTACTTTTTAAGGCTATTATTGTAAAAATCAGTAAGTTTATCATATATGTCAATATGAATATGCAATTAAATGAGTAAAAACTCTTTACAGTATCAATGGAGAAGGCTATTATCTCTAACATAATGTTGCAAAAATACAGTCGCATGTTCGTCACTAGAAGTGAAAACAAAAAAATAGAACTGAAGAAAAGTACTAGGCTAATAGTTATGAACTCACAATAATGGCTCCTGTAGGATCAATCCACCAGTAGAACTTGACAGCCAGAACAGCTGCAGCTAATCCAACAGAATTAGTAATGACATCAAAAAGGTGATCTTGTGCATACGCTCTAATGATTTCATTTTTAAATCTACGACAATAGACCATCAGAATGAACTTCACTACAGTCACAAACACCATAATAGCGATCATCCAGTGCAGTTTTGTTGGATCCATATCAGGCTTAGCCTGTAAGAAAAATAATGACACAAGAAATTAAAACTGTCATGGTAATAATTACAGGAAAATCTAAAGCCGGTTACTTAAAACTGCTACAGCTCAAACAAATGACTAGAGTGCACTTATAGGATAAGAAAATTAAAAACAACTAAATCCTCAGTTTTTTTAAGATGTTAATGAGAGAGCTTCAAATAGAAAAAAAAAATTGAGGTGAACAAGTTAATTTTAACTTATGGAAGAAGCTTGTTTTCATTTTATCTCCTTATTTTCTTCTCCAATCAATACTTCTGGAGAAGTTTATCAAAATTTGGCCTAAATTCAAAGCCATAAACAAAAAGGAAAAAAGAACTGAACCCAAACTAAGGGGTCTAATGGACAAATAGATCTCAGTTACCTTGGAAATAAGTTGTCGGCCTGATTCAATCAAAATCTGCAACCCCAAGGTAGCCATCACAGATGCAAAAATAATGATACCCTGCACAGGAAATCTTGTTAACATGTGGCTGTACTAAGCAACCAAGCAACTAAAGTCATTTTCAGTCTCGGTATTTCAGTCAAACTCTAACAATACCCAATCACCTTGTGCATTAACTAAAACTTTGCAATACCCAATCACCTTGTGCACTTTAAATTAAACCTTACCACTGGTTGCATGCGTTTCTTTCCAATTGGATAGTGATATTGGTTTGGGTTTTTCATGGCATGAGCAGTAAACCACAATATGAACCCTGATAAGAGATCCAAGAGGGAATCCATGGTTGAGGCAATGACTGCCAATGACCTGCTCGCAGCTGAAGCATAAACCTTTGCTGCAAACAGCACCAAGTTACATATATTTGACACTTGAACAGCCATCCTCTCACTCTTGGCTAGTTGCTTCATTTCATCCTGAGAAACATACAGCATGGATATTTAGTAGAGTTTTCTATATATATATTTAAAGAAATAATTTATCTGTGTGTTTGAGATGATCAAATTTAATGGAAAATCATAATTTTTCACTTAGATTATAGTCAAAACTGGTCAGTGCTGCACCCTGTATGTCAAATTATAAGTAAGTCATGGCGAGGAACAATCCACCTCAGTGAGAGCTCCTGGGAAACCACCCGTTTCAGTCATAGTCTCCATCTCAGTAAATCCTTCAAGGAGTCGCTCCTGTTTCTTGTAATACTCTGCCACTTTGACTTGTCTCCCTAAAAATAAGTTCGCAGTGGGTTGTACAGTATGTACGCAAATCAAGAAAAAAAAATTACCAACTAAGTCTTGAAAGAAAAACCAAACAACTTCACAAGCTCATGGAAGCGATCACATGATGAATGTAAGAGATGAACACGTTCAACTTGATTCCAAATACAAGGCAAATAAGGACTAGTTGAGAAGTTAGATCCAGGCACTATCAGATGTTGCAATTATTAAATTGAGATGAAACATATGGAAGATGAATTTAAACGCCAAATTCTATGTAGTTATTTTTTTTTAGTTCCCCAGGTTAAATGATTATAATAACATCAAAATTTTCAAATGTCCAACCTTTTATAAATATACAATTTTAAACATTATGTGAACAGGTAACTGTGCAGAGTCCACTTTTTTTGTGAAGTACTAGAGTTAACTATCTATTTTATCTTTTGATCTGAATCCAGTTTCGTCTCCTTTGAGAAGCCAGAAGGAAGGTTCATGTTTTATTATGTAATAACTTTTGATTAAGTACGGAATCAGGTAAAATATAAAGGCATTTTATGATATGAGCAATGGAGTAACTCCATTCTTTGCTTTAGATCAAATGAATGGAATTATAACAAACTAATCAAATACAAGCACCAATGATCCACATTCAAAACAAAATCTGCCTATATGCAAAGATTACCACCATGGCCTACAATCAATAACACATAAAGCTTCACCATGAAGGGCAAACGCCCCCGTCGCACACATCAATTACTTTAAAGTTCAAGGGAAGTCTGGATTCCCTGAACTCAACACATGCATGGCAACCACGGAGACCATAACCGACCTACTAAAAAAATAGAGACTTTATCACTTTTTACATCGAAGAGTAAAACAAAGGCACACTGGGTTTGCACAAACCAACACACCGACCATCACTCACAAGTCACAACAAAACCAGACCCATCAAAAGGTCCAAAAAGAAAAAGAAAAAAGAAATTACATTGACATCGGTTTCCTGAAATTTCATACGCTACCATTTAAGGCGTACAATGATCCTTATTTGTGTGAAACACATCACACTGTGCACCCTGTAAAAGAGTGACTAACAGCCAAAAGAATGGCACATTCCTAGTTCCATACAATTCAACATGCAACCATTATAAAAAAACCAAACCCATTACACAAAACAGAAACTTTAGACATTCAAGAGAATAAAGCTGAAAAAGGTGACAAATGGCTTTTTGGGTTTGACAATTGACAGACACATATAAAAACCATCACAAAAAAAAAAAAAAAAAACATGAACAGAACAAAAGGGAAATAAGAATGTCTCACTGGGCTTGCGGAGAAGACCACGGAAAGAGAAGGAACGGTGATGGTGATGCTCATCAGTTCGGTTTGGCAAACGAAACTCCTGCACGTTAAGTCTCCATGGAGCTTTTGCAACCTCTCCCTCCGGCGACTCTAGCAGCGGTTCCCTCCGACGGTTTCCGCCACTACCACTCTCCGTCATGTTGGTTGCCTGAAACAGAAAAGGTCAAACTTCGCAGTTACATGGACAGACTGGAACAAAGAGGAAAAGTTCAGAATGCTTATTGACGTTATAATATAATATTCTGGGGGACCCTTTGTCTGTGGAGTGGAGGGAAGTTTCGCGTAAGGTGGGAATTTGCCCTGTGGGGATAGGGTTTATATAATGACCCATTAAAATCTGATTTCATCTCAGATATTTAATCGAAGGTTTAGATTTAAACTTTTAACTATATGATTAAATAGGGTAACTTAAAATTAATAATAAAAAAAAAACTGATAGGCTCACTTGTTTATTCATTTAAATGCAATACATATGAATATTTAAGATAAAAATTATAAACAAAATAAATTTTATTATAATTGATTAAGCTTGAGTTTTATGATTAAGCATATTGACTAGTTAATTAACATCTAGTTTAATGACCTTGAATACTTAATCATCTTGTAATATTAAAATAAGTTACATTTGACTGATAAAGAAATATCTAATAAGTTTATAAATAAAACTAGCCTAGCTAAATTTAATCACACTTTGTGTCTAATTTAATTTGACATATTCTTATTCCAATTCAAAGATACCATCTATATTGTCCTTTAGTATTTTATTTTTTAAACTGTGATTTCTACTTTTTTTTATAATGTTTAATTTAATGCTTTATATTTTAAATAAGAATTTAAATGATAACTTTTCTTTATGTATTTTTTTATTAAATATTAAAATACGCGCATTTGAAGGAGAGAATAGGAGAAAATAAATGTCAGAATTAGGTATGTTGGAAGTTAGAAGTCAGAAGAGAAAGGAAGGAATAAGGTGAATTAGGGAAGATGAAAGGGTGGTGTATGTTAGGGTTGATTGATTGTGAATAATTCCAAATTTAGGTTAAAATATGATGCATTGTGTGATCATTCAGCACATAAAACAATTTCATTGTCCCATCATTTATTATTTTTATGTAATAGTAAATGTTTTATTTATCTTGGTCCAAAGAACAAATTGGACATTCCACCTAAAAAGTAAGATGGGAATTTCAGCGTGATAGTGAGATCCATCGTAATGGTGGTTGAAAGAAAGTTTTGAAAACCCCACATAAGAGACATATGAAGAATGAGTTAAGAAATATAAGACGAAACTGAATGAGCTAAATACGAAAATAAACCCCTCCAAACCTTAATTTGTATTAATTTGACAGTGGATTGGATTTTATCATTAATTTTAATTACTTTTTATGCATGTTTCTATGAAAAGTTAGTTAGCCCAATTGGTGTAGAGTAAGATGAACTAATTTGGGTAAACATGAAAAAAATCTACCTTGTTTGATAGGAAAATGGATTTGAGAGAGTAAAAATGAATGGATTTGAGAGAAAAAAAGATAAGAATGAAATTGTTTGATTAAGAAAAAAATAATGAGAAATAAAAAAATAAAAGAAAAATTTATAAAAATATATGAATAATGTGATTGATTTAATAAATTAAAAACTAAATAACAAATAAATAAAAATTAAAAAAAAATATATTTGTTTTTTATAATTTTATTTATTATATTTTTTAATTATTTATTACAATTTTAATTTTTTTAAATTATTATATAATTGATTATTTGATTTTAAATATTTTATTATGCAACTTTTCTCTACGTTTTCGTGGGTTTCTTCGCATAAAGGAATGGATGATTTTAAATAACAAAACATTTTGCATTGATTTCCTAACTTTTCATTCATTTCTTCCTTTCCTAGCTTTCGGTCCGCATGAACAAACGCACCCTTAATTTAATATAACTCATGAACATAGGTGCTACTCAATTTTTTATTTTTATTTTTTTTTACGGCGTGTTTGGAGTAAAAGATGAATTTAAGAGCGAGTGAAAAGGAATAAATTTGAATAAAACAAAGAGTGGTATTTAGATTAAGAAAAATGTTATAAAAAATGTAAAAAAAAAGTTTTCAAAAATTTATGAGTGATTTAATTGATATAAATAACAAAAATTTATTTTAATAAAAAATTAAAAATAATTAAATAAAAAATATTATTATTAATATAAATTAAAATATTATAATTATTATAGTTATTTTTATTTTAATTATCAATATGATTATTATTATTATTATTATTATTGTTATAATTTTTATTATTAAAATAATTATTATTTATATATTATATAATGTAAATAATATAAGTTTTCCATGCCTTCTTTTCGTGAACTGGAAAAAAGAAAAAAATTATTATTAAAATAACTTTTTTACGAATCTACCCTACTGGACATTCTGTCGTCTATGCTTTACTGAAATGGGCAATGATAGTTTGACAACTGTTAAAAAAACAACTCCAAATACAACTCATTAATTAATATAATAACGATGAAAGAAATTTAATAAAAATAAAAAAAGATTAAAATTATTATTATAATATAAAATACAGTTATTTAATGAGTTCTTTGTGTAAATACCTGTGTCAAAATATATTTTCTCTACTAAAATTTCATTAATAGGGTTTTTCATCTAAAGAAATTTTCAAATAAATTAGGAGTGATAATATTTCCTTGTTACATTAAGAAACTGAATAAGATATTATAAAGATAATTTTGTGTGATATTTGTTTTTCTTAAGTTTATTATATATGTTTCAAAAATGACTTGGAGATTATTTATCCTAATAAGTGTTTTAGATTTTAAATTTAAAGTTTTGATTTGAACATGAAGATATATTTTCTTACATAATAGATTTGTATCGCATTTATAATAATCTTTAGCTCTTGCGGAAACTCAATAGTGTAAAAAATTTGTCGTGTTAATAGTTCTTTCTACAAGAATGAGTGTCATTTTTAAAGAAAAAAGATAAAAATAATATTTTGTCTAAAATTGATAAAAGCAAAACTAAAAATTTAATTAAATGTTTATAGTACATTACAAATGTTTAATGAATGAATTCTAAAACCTTTTTAACACATTTAAGCTACAATAGACAGTAGCATTAAAACATTAAAAGAAAAAAAGAAGATAATAATAATAGATATTTCAATAGTTATTTAGATAATAAGAATTATATATATATAAATAAAAAAAAGTAAAAAAATAAAAATAAAACTTGTGAAGTGTTGGTCCATGAAAAGTGCAAACAGAATTAAATAAAGATAGATTAAGATGAAAAAAAAATTAAAAAAAATATTAATTCTGAACTATCTACAATCTCATGTATATTATCTCGTATAAAAATATATATAATCAAAAATATAAAATAATTATGTAAAATAAATCCTATATAAAATGACATAATTTAAAAAAAAATATATATATATATATATATATATATATATAAAAAGTTTATTTATAACATTTCTCCCCAGACTTTATGAATCAATTCAATTACACCTTTTTCTAGGTTGCAATATAATAAACCATAACCTAGATATCAAAATGGGAAATAATTTTGAGGTACGGTGGATTGGCCGGCCTCCACTCACTCTCGCCTCTCTCTCTCTTCCCTAGGTACCAACCCCTATACCTAGAGACCCCTTTGGCTTCTCCTTTCACCACCTCCACCCTTCCTCACCAAGCAGTGGCCTCACACACTCTCCCTCACCTTCACTTCCCATTTCCATACCCTCACTCTCACCCACTCTCATCCCAGTAGCGGCACCCACCGCTTCCTCCATTCCCTCTCACCAATTCCATCTTCTTCAACTAACCTACGACCCCCAAATCGCCAGGCCACCACCACGGCCATCCTCCATCCAGCCCTAGCCGCCAGTCGTGCCCAACCTTCACTGTCTAGTCACCCAGCCACTGAGCGGCCAGCCATTACGGGCTTTGGCCACACCGCCAACCCCGCACCTCAACCCCAATCTAACCCCCACCTCCAACCATCGTGAGCCACCACTGGCCGAGCCGCTTTCCAGCCTCAATAACATTTTTCCACCTTCACTAGTAGCTCCCTCCACCCTCACCAAGTCACAGCCGAAATCCCTTTTCTTTCCCCTCTGTTACCACCCAAAACACCGCATAGCCTCCGCCGCTAACCCTAACCGCCATCGCAAACCATCATTCAACTGCGGACCACCATGAGACGTGTCTCCATCAAACCATCATGTCCCTCACCACGGCCACCACAGGTCTCGGCCGCGCCAGCCACCGCGCGCCTTCAAAGTGAGCCACCTTCCTACTCGCGCCACAGCTGCCGCCAGTGGTGTCCCTAGAGCAGCACCGATTCCCCTGCCCGAAGGTGAGGTCGTGATGTAAATATGATATATGATAAAAGGTAGAGTAAGGAAAACAAAGTAAGTTGTTTATCCATTACTGTGACCAAATTGTGTCTTGCATTAATTAATCAATAGATTTTAGTTTAGTTTTATTATAAGATGTAATAAAGACCCAATTGGAAATTTAGTAGAGGATGAATAATTGATTGACTTTTGAATGTTACAATTTCGGTTACAATTAATTATAAGTAGTTTTCAATTCCTAGGCTAATGGATTATTATTAATCTTTATTTGTCTTCATTAAGTAGTTTGTAATTCCTAGGTTAATGAATCATTATTAACATTTATTTTTTCTTATTAAATCTTTGTAATTCTGATGGTAAAACTTTTATATAGGTTGAATCATTTTTATAAAAAATAACAAGTAAAATTTTATTCAGAATTATTAGAGTTTATCTTTTTTATCTTAGTGAGAGTGATTTTCTTAAATTTTTGAGTGATTCAAGAATTTTTGGTTGTATCAAAGGACTTTCACATCCTTTGTGAGTTTTTTTTCTTGAAAAGAGTGATTCTTTCCTTCCACCTTATCACTAAATTTCTAAAATTTTTACAAGGTTCTAATCCTAAAGATCCTAAATCACCCCTTGTGATTCATATCAGTTGGTATCAGAATCTCGGTTTAAGGATTTAAACATAAAATTGATGGCAGAAGAAGAAAATTACTATCAAGAAGTAGGAATTAGTCCATTTCAAATGAGAGCATTAATACAACAACATTTGGAAGGATTAATGATGCGACATAACAATGAGCTTCATGAAAGATTGAACTGGTTGGAGAATAGAAACTCCGAAGATGAAGAAGAAAATAGAAATAGGAGAAGGAATGATGAAGTAGCAAAATCAATTAGGCTTGAAGGAGTCAAACTTAGCATTCCTCCGTTCAAAGGAAAAAGTGATCCGGAGGCATACTTGGAGTGGGAGATGAAAAAAAAACACGTTTTCTCATGCAACAATTATAAGGAGACCCAAAAGGTGAGACTTGCAACTACGGAATTTTCTGACTATGTTCTTGTTTGGTGGAACAAACTACAAAAGGAGAAAGCTAGAAATGAAAAATCAATGGTTGTTACATAGATTGAGATGAAAAAGATCATGAGGAAGTGGTATGTACCGACTAGTTATTCAAGGGACTTGAAATTTAAACTTCAAAAACTTACTCAAGGCAACAAGGGAGTTGATGAGTATTTCAAGGAAATGGACATGCCCATGACTCAAGCAAAGATTGAAGAAGATGAAGAGGTAACTATGACCCGATTTATTGGTGATTTGAATATTGATATACGTGATATTGTTAAGTTGCAGGAGTTTGTTGATATAGAGGAATTACTTCATAAAACAATTCAAGTGGAACAACAACTTCAAAGAAAAGAAGTGGCTGAGAAGAGTTCTACCAACTTTGGATCTTCAAGTTGGAAGGACAAATGCAAGAAAGATGAGGTTGTTACTTCTAGTAATTCCACACCTATTTTTACAAAGACTCTTTCACAGTCTTAAGAACAACCCTCTAAAATAAGTAAAGATGTGAAGTGTTTCAAATGTTAAGGTTTATGACACTATGTTTATGAGTGTACTAACAAAAGGTTTATGGTTTTTAGAGAGGGAGAATATATAAGTGAATTTGAGGTTGAAGAGAGAGAGGAGAGTGAGGACATAGAGGAGGAGGAGATTCCAAAGGGATATTTATTAATGAATAGGTGATTACTTGATGGGAAATTGAAGCTTATGGAAGAAAGCTAAAGAAAAAATATTTTTTACACTAGATGTTTAATCAATGACAATGTGTGCATGATGATCATAGATGGAGGTAGTTGCACCAATGTGGCTAGTGCTAGAATATTGTCAAAGCTAAATTTACCTACTAAACCACATCCTAGGTTTTATAAACTTCAATGACTTAGTAAGGATTGAGAGGTGCAAGTGAGGAAGCAAGTTGAAGTAAACATTTCAATTGAAAAATACAATAATAAGGTACTGTGTGATGTTGTTCATATGGAGGTTAGTCACTTACTTTTGGAGAAACCATGACAATTTGATAAAATAGTCAATCATGACGGGTTCACTAATAAGATTTCTTTCATACACCAAGAGAAAAAAAATTGTGCTCAAACCTTTGAGTCTACAAGAATTGTGTGAGGATAAAAAGAAAATGAAAGAAAAATTTCTTTAAGAAAAAAGAAAAAAAAAACGTTAATGAAACACTTGAGAAGAAAAAGTGTGATCAAAAGAAGAGTAAAACACTTGAAGTGAGAGAGAGCTATTTAGCCATAAAAAGTGAGTATAATGTTTATTCTACATTTAATTTGTCAGATTTATCTCTTTTTAATATAGATGACGAATCCGATTTGAGGACAAATCATTTTCAAGAGTGAGAGAATGATGTGAACATGACATATGATAAAGGCTAGAGCAAGGGAAACAAAGGAAGCTCTTCAACAAGTATTGTTGGTTGACCAAATTGTGTTTTAGATTAATCAATTAATGGACTTTAGTTTGGTTTTATTACAAGTTGTAATAAAGACCCAATTAGAAATTTAGTTATCAGTCTTTGGGAGACTAAGAAGGTGTATAGCTGATTGACTTTTGGATGCCACAATTTCAGTTATAATAAATCATTAAGTAGTTTTCAATTCTTATGTTAATGGATCATTATTAGTCTTTATTTGTCTCCATTAAGTAGTTTTCAATTCTTAGGTTAATGAATCATTATTGGCATTTATTTTTCCTTATTAAATCTTTGTAATTCTGATGGCAAAACTTCTATATAGGTTGAATCATTTTTATAAAAAATAAAAAGTGGAATTTTATTCAAAACTATTAGAGTTTATCTCTTTTATCTTAGTGAGAGTGATTCTCCTAAATTCCTGAGTGATTCAAGAATATTTGGTTGTATCAAAGGACTTTCACATCCTTTGTGAGTTATCTTCCTTGGAAAGAGTGATTCTTTCCTTTAACCTTATCACTAAATTCCTAAATTTTTTACAAGGTTCTAACTCTAAAGATCCTAAATCATCCCTTGTGATTCATATCAGGCCGTGAGCCAGCTTCCTGGTGGAGGTTGAACTCGAGACCCGGGATCCATGCTTTGGGTTTTCTTTTGCTTTATTTGCTTTATTTCTCCGTCTTATTCTGATCTGGTATTGCATTTTTTAGTAGGGTCCTTGTTTCTGATTCTTATGGTTTAGTTTTGCTTCTCTTTGAGATTTTGGTCTTTGATTAATTTGGTCTGCAAGATTTTGACTAGATGTTTGCTTCTGCTTGTTTCTATTGATGTGCATCTGCATGTTTCTTTCTTTTTTTTTGGGAGTTTCTTATTTGGGATTTTTGGTTTTTGAAATGCATATATGTATTGATATGTCAAAAATATTTTCTAGACTAAACCGTGTGTCCTATAGATGGTTTATGTCATTTTGTTGTGGTTATGCTACTGAAATTTTGTTCAATAGTTTGGGTCTAAAGCATTTAGTTTAAGTTGGTAATCGTTTCACTTAGATGTAGTAATTTGGATGTATATTGGACCTTTAGTTTAAGGTTTATAATTATGGGAGGTTGATTCTTATTTTATGCACCTAGGATTGTCGTCCCCGTATTTTGATTTAGGGTTGTCAGACCCGCGTTTCTATTTAGGGTTGTCAGCCCCACATTACGAATTAGGATTGTCAGTCCCGCGTTTTGATTAGGTTTATTTGAACGTTCGATCCTTCATGATTTTCTTTGCTTTTAATAATAAACTTTGAGGTACGGGTACAATCGTTTGCATCGTCATGTCCTCTATTTTAAATAAACTTTGAGATACGGGTACGACCGCTCGCGTCGTCATGTCCTTTCCTTTTAAATGAATTTTGAGGTATGGGTACGACCGTTTGCGTCGTCATGTCCTCTCCTTTAAATAAATTTTGAGGTACGGGTACGACCATTCGCATTATCATGTTCTCTCCTTTTAAATGAACTTTGAGGTACAACCACTCGCGTCGTCATGTTCTCTTTTTTTAAATAAACCTTTGAAACACGGTTATGGTCGTACGCGTCATCAAGTGTCTTCAAAATGTCAAAAACAATATAAAAGAAATTCTAAATCAAAAATACAAAACTTTTTCAAAAAACAAAATTTTCAAAACCTTAATCAACATACAAATTTTTCTACAAAGAACTACGTAACTCTGATTTCTCATTTTGAATGAGAATACGTAGGAGCAAGGTCAATCCTTGTTGGGCCCCAAAAAACTAAAAAATATTTTCATTCATTCTATTCTTTTTCTCTTTTCGTTGCTTTTTTTCTGATTTTGGAGGAAAATAATTATTTTTAAAATGACATTTAATTTTGTACATTCAACTAAGGGTAATCATCTTAGGACGGACGTTGTAGGGTGTTAATACCTTCTCTACTTGTAACCGACTCTCAAACACAAATCTTTTTTTTTTGTAGACCTAGTCTTATCTTTATGGTTTTTCCATAGTTTCCCTAAATAAACTATGGTGGCAACTCTAAAACCCTGATTTTGATTTTTTTTAAATCTTTTGTTTGGTTCGTCTTCCCACCGCGATTTCGGTTGCGACAGTAGGTTTGCCTATTGTGATAAAAATAAAAAAATAATACTAATGTGTTATAAAACTTGGAAAAGTTTGTCAACACATGTTGTAAACTAAAAGTGATTTGTTCTTTAAAGAATACTTGTATATCACTATTTTAGAATAAGTTTTTTACCTCATTTAATTTTCATCGAACAAAAAATAACCAACTTAAAAAAATGCGGTAACATTTTGCTAAATAAGGGATGTTACTTTTATATCGAACATCTTAAGGGA